TACTGCTGCGTCCTTCCTGTTTCCGTCAGGGTCAGAGTTCGGAAGGAGCTGTCCCTAGCCTCTCAGGAATTCGGTGAGGCTCGGAACTGGCCTCGTGGTAGCACAAGCATTTGCCATCCAGTCGTCAGTCAGCGGCAGCAACTGATGACCCGTCTTGCTACGGCCTAGGGGAATGATACGGTTCACATCAAGATGGCGAAAGGCTACCAAGTCGGCCTTGAAATCTATGATGGCTCCTAAATTCCGGAGCGCCTCCACACTCAGCAAAACTGGGCTTTGCCCATGGTCTAACGTGTGGATCCTCAGCTCGCCGGGATTTCCTCCGGCCGATACCTTCAAGGAAGCTGTGCTGAGGCATTTGTTTTCTGTCGAATTTCCAAAGGAAAATGTTGGAGGATCTGAGGTGTTCACTGCCGTCAGGCGATTGCTGCCATGCTTCTTCTTATTCATCGCCAAGATCGCCTCCACTGCTGCCACGCTGCCGACTGTTTGTGTCGCTCCGCCATCAACGACGCACAGTCCTTGGCTCACTGCCTCCTGAGTAGTGAGGCCAGCACCAGCACCCATGATGCTCAATGCTGCCTCGGTGGCGCTCTCGGTCTCGGGGCCCTGGGCGAAACCATTCACGTGCTCGTAGTCCTCGGGGATCTTGTCGTGGTAGCACACGAATGGCGCCTGTTGAGGTCCTGGGCCCCCATTGTCACCGGTGGTGTTCTCCGCCTGGGCTGCCAATGGTTTCACGGGGCAATTGGCTGCCCTGTGTCCTCGTTGTCCACATCGAAGGCAATCTATGTTCGAATCGTCTCGTGGCTTGAAGGTAGAAGAGGTCGCAGGGCCAGGTTTGCTTTGGTAGTACTTGCGACTTTGCTTCACGGAGTGCTGTTTCTGGCGAGCTTCCTTCAATGTCCGCTTTGCTTGGTGGAGGGCTGCCATAGCCTCCCTCGCCGTCTCCTCGTAGTCCACGACCAAGGCGATGCCCTCTTCATTCATGCCGCCCTCGCTCAGCTCCTCGATGGAGAACCCGTAGGAGTGGTCCTTCGCCTCCTCGTCGCCGGAGTCCTCGAAGGCCTCGCCAATGTAGCTCTGGTATCGCCGTTGATCACGGCGACGGACTTCCCCTTCAGGGAATTGGTTGCGGAGTTCCTGAGCCACCTTTTGCGGTGCGAAGTCCCCGCCCAAGGCGGTGAGGACAATGTTCTTCTCGGCGTGGTCGAGGTTGGAGTCCGCGAGGAGGTACCAGCCTTGGATGAAGGAGGGGAGAAGATCCGGTAGTCCGGGGGCGGTCTCCCCCAGCGAAGATGAAGCAGAAGAGGCTCCCCATGAAGAGCCTTGCCAGGGTTGTGCTCCCCAGCTGCCGTATCCAACCCAGGGTGACCATCCCCACGATGAGGCGCCCCAGGTGTTCCACCTTGTCTGCCACTGATCATCTCCGGTATCTCCGGTCTCCGTGTTGGCGGTGGCCTCGGTGGAGGCCTCAGTCTCAGTGGTGCCCGGCTCCTCGGTGGCCGGTGTCCACTGCCGGCCCCATCCACTCATAGTATCGTAGCTGCTTCGCCTGCTGTACGTGCCCACACTGGTCTGGGTGGTCGTCGTGTCCCGGTCATAGTGTGGCTGGACCCGCTTCAAAGCCTGGCTCGCCCGCATGTAGGCTTCCGTCTTCCTGGTGATGTATTCATTCATACTCTCGTTCGCCTTGCGCTTTGTGCCCTTGAAGTACAATGCCAGAAGATCGGTCACCTCGTTGACGCGGGGCTTTCCCAGTGCCTTGCGAAGGTGGTCCATGAGCGCCTTCACGCCGCCTCTGTAGGCGACCCATCCCGCGCTCTGGCCTGCCACAAAGCGGCGAGCCGCTCCAGACAGTTCCTGAACTAGTCTCGGTCCAGCAGTGTACCGCTTCTCCCATGTCAGAGACTGCTCCCACAAGAGAGCGGCCTCCTCGTATTCCACGAAAGACCCTGCTTCCCCGCTCCAGCATGGTATTCCGTCTTTGGTACGCGTCACTGCTGTCGCGCCACTGTCAGACGCTCCACTCATCTTTCTCCAGTCCCCACTGGAGCCGCGGTCCCTGGATCCTATGAGCCCCCCTGGTTAGCGGGAGGCTCCGCTACCATGAAAGAGGTAGCGTCTGATGTAGCTGTCGATGACCAAGCTTGCAGTTCGGCTAGGGCTGTAGGCACGGGCTTCGATGGCTCGGACTAAAGCGGAGCTACGCACCCTACCTGCAGCGCCGGGCAGCCTTTCTCGATCCTCTGCAAAGCTTCGGCGCGAATCTCCTGACAGAGGATGTAGGGCCAGAGTTCGGAGGAACTTGCAGACCCTATGCCTACACCCTAAACTCTAAACTCTAACCCTAAACCCTAAGCCCTATAGACCCTAAACCCCAAACCCTACTCAGTGTCAGCAACACGACCGTCCAAACTCACCATCGGAGAAGCCACAAGGCCCGCGACCTTGAGACCAGATGCTTCGATCATAAGAACTTTCAGGAGGTGGGGCCCTTCATACCCCTTACCAGGTTAAGACCCTAGCCTCCAAAAACCCTAAACCCTAAAGTTCATATTATGACTGGAGCTCCAGCCCTTTCAGAACCGATTAGAACCTTGCAAGAAACCTCTGAGAACCGACTCAAGAACCCGAAAAGAGCCCCAAGCGAACCCTAAACGCAGTAAACACCCCATCTCCTCTCCAAAGCCCAAAACCCGAAACCCTCAGAAACCCTGGGAAGCGTCTTAGAAATTCAGAGAAACTGGAGAAACCCTAGACAGCAGAAAGTCCAGAAGCCCTGGACACTCTACTTGGAGGGTCGGGGGACTTAGTAATTGGTTATTTTCGGGACTTATAAGTACCATAACCCCAATTAGAGTCCCTGTTATGGTACTTATAAGTCTACTTGCTACGTCCCCCGACCCTCCAAGTACACCTCTAGGCATGACCGGGGCCGTGCCACAGTGTTCCGACTGCTTACGGCAGGCTCCCGTTTCCTTGGGGCCTTGGTCTTAGGCGGCTGTTGCGTGTTTAATGGTTTAGGGTTTAGGATGTAGGGTTTAGGGTTTAGGGGTCTTGGGGGTTTAGGGGTTTAGGGTTTAGGGGTTTAGGGTTTAGGCTTCTAAGGGTTTAGGTCTACTTAATGGGCTTTCAAAGGGTTCTGTCAGGGTTTTGGAAGCGTGCTGTATGAGTCCAAGGTAATTCAGTTAGACTCGCACGTCATCATCGTGTACGAAGCCAGGCATTGCCCATAATATCAGGGCCTAAATAATTACCAATACTATTTTGGGGTTCCTTATTGTAGTTCTAGTATAATGGGTCACGCTTTCGAGGTCCAGACTGCAAGGGTTCCTTTAAGGGTTCCTTTAGGGGTTCTACAGGGTTTAGGGGGCTTAGGGTTTAGGGTCTACTTGCAGGTTCATGGGAAGTAAAAGTGGGGTTATAAGTAGGGTAAGTATAATTATAACCCATATTAGGGGACTTATAACCCTACTTATAACTACCCGTAAACCTTCAAGTGGGTTCGACCGTTTGGTGGCGGGGTTTCGGGTCACCAGCCCCAGGTTCAGATGTGAAGGCTTCACACCTATGCCCTGCATTAAGGGACCCAAAAACCACATAAGCATAAGCATTTTACGGGGATATCCCTACCTTACTGGGCTTCATTATAAGGGGGGTTATATGGGATATCCCTATCCTTACTTTTGCTTATGTGCTTTTTGGGGCCCTATGTATAATCATCCCAAAGACATGAGTGTTCAGTTGCCAAGCCCTAAGCCTTAATCAAAAGCCAAACCCTAGACTCTAAACACTAAGCTTTAAACCGCAAAACGTAAGCATTGAAACCCCAAGCACTAAAACCCAAAACCCTAGACCCGAACTGCAAGAATAGTATGGCCGGGCCCAGATCTCTCAATTCTTCATGCTCCGCGGGAATCCTCGATTCCAAGCCTTGGCGCCCAAGATAGGGTTTAGTGTTTTTTGGGGTTAGGATTTAGTGCTAGGGGCTCAGTGTAATCAGCGGCGCTACCGAGGTTAATGCGGTTGCTCTACGTACAGTTGTCCCTCAGGATTCACTACTGCAATGTACTTTTAATTTCAACCTCCAGCCCCTTCCCCAAAACCAAAAACCAACAAGAAATCAGCAGAAAGCTTCGTTGTCGCATCCAGGCCTCTACATAAGCTCTGACCCACGTATTCGGTCTTCTTCTTCTTATTCTTCTGCTTAGAGGCCCAGGGGACTTCGTAAGTAGTAGGTTATAAGTAGGGTTATAAGTACCCTAGGTGGAGCTACTCCAATTTTAACCCTACCTATAGCCGACTTACTACGGTTGGTGATAAAATCCTGAATTACCCATAATAAGGAATATACCACAATTCCCATAGCTTAGGGTCCTTAAGGTAATGCAGAATTTCTATCATCAACCCAAAACCCTAAACCCTAACACCCTATAGATGCCTTAAAGGACCCCTTACAGGTACCCCTATCGATCCCTTTCAAGGAACCCTAGGATTTATGTCATCCACCGTAAGTCCCCCTGGGCCTCTAAGTGCTGCAGGCAAGAGACCTCCTCAACGAGCTCCTTTCGCAGGTGGAAAGGGTGTTGAAATTATGGTCCCTTTGAAAGGTTTAGGGTTTTGGGGTTTAGGGGTTTAGGGGTTTAGGGTTTAGGGATTTGGGGTTTAGGGTTTAGGGGTTTAGGGTTTAGGGGCTTAGGGGTTTAGGATTTAGGGGTTTAGGGTTATGCTCCCATTTTGGGGTTCCTCATCTAATGCGGCACCTACTCTTCAGGGTAGCCAAAAAGGGACCCTAGGTGGAGTTTGTTCAACATTCATGTTTCTGATGCTTTATGGGGGGGGCCTTGGCGGGTTCAGGGGCTCTTGTGGTGCCGACCAGCTGTCTTTAGGTGCTGTTCTTGTCAGGGTGCTTTAGAGAAAGCATTACAAGGAGCCGCTCACTTGGCTCCGCTCAATCGCTTCGGCCGGCAATCTGCGTAGACAACCGACAACGCAGTATGAGTCCGGCAGAGCACAAGTTCAAGTTGCGCGTGGGCCAGCGGAGGCAAAAGCTTTGCCTCCAGGGTGGTTGCGTGGAACTTAGCGAGATAACTGGCCGGTCCATCGTCAACGAAAGATTGCAAGGCAAGCGCAACGTCCCTCGGCGGCTGCAGAAGAAGCTGCGGCTGGAAGAGCTACTTGAAAAGCTGATGCCGCTGCAAGCTTTCAGGTGGCTGTGGGGTGCATCTTGGATCTTGGGGCGGCATGCAAGTCCTCACTCCAAACCCCAAGACCTTGCCCCTACGCAACTCTTCAGACCCAAGCCATTTTCAGTAAGCCCGAGCCCGGTCTGTCCTAACCCCAAACCCCTAAACCCCTAAACCCGAAACCCTACATCCCTAACCCTGAAACCCCTAAACCCCCAAACCTGAAACCCTACAACTCTAAACACTTCACACGGCTCCCATCCCCACGAAAAATGCTCACAGCCCGAACCTCAACCTGTCCCTCCAAAATCCTCTGAGCCCTAAATTGGGAGTTTCCGAAAATTAGGGGTACCGTATTTCAGGATCCTTATAACAAGGATCCTACTATTTAGGGTACCTTGTTAGGGATCCCCTTTTTTCGGAAACGCCCTGAATACTAAACATCACTATAAACCCTGACGCCTCGACCCTTGAAGCCCTAAACTGGGTTCTTGTTGCCTATCGTCTCCTTAGGAATTATCTTTGTGTGTTTGTCTGTTCGTGCAAAACCCAAGAGAATATTACAAATATTATTTTTTATCATGGTTCTAAGGGGGGTATAGTTAAGGAACCTGGTTTAAGTTACCATACTAGGGGAACTATAGTAAATAACATGGTTTCCTTATTCTGGTACCTTAGTTTATATCCTCTAACAAGAACCCAGTACATGCCCTAAAGACCCTAACACACACCCTCACAAGCAGGTGCGCTCCGACGACGAGGAGACTTTGCGACAGCTGCGACAGGAGAGTGCCGAGCTGAACTTCATGCTAGGCGCGAGAAGATTAAGGGCCCGTTTCCAGGGTTCCTTTACGGGTACCCACAGGGGTTTAGCAGTGTGTTGAGGGCTTCAGGGGCTCTATGGCTTTTTCAGGTTTCAGGGTTACACCGTCGAGGTTTTTAGGTTTTATCGCTTTGGGTTCATGCTGTTAGGCTTTGGGATGTGGTATTTTGCGGCTAGAGACTTGGAGCTTGAGGACTTTAGGGTTTTGGATCCCGGGTTTAGTTGGATTTCAGGCACCTCAGCAAGGGATCTTCAAGAACGAAAGTTTTTTGGGCCGCAATCAGAGAGAAACCCGACAGGAATCTATGAGCACCCTAAACCAAACCCCTGCACACTAAACCCCTAAACCCTAAACCCCTGCGATGCACGAGGATTTTTGCTTTGCCGCGAGAAGCCTTGGCTTCCAAAAGCCTGCCTTTCTATTCAATGCACCCGTGAAGACGGCGCCGGCACGCGCTGTGGCGGCCAGCTTGGGGTGGCGCCAAGCCCGCCGGAGCCCTCTGCTGCGCGGGCACGCTGGCGTCAGGTTCGCCTGAGCCGAGACGTCACAAAGCCCTGGGCCGTAGCCTGATCTCGGATGCTGACAGCCGCCCCACTCTCTCGCTGATGGAGTCCGGCTGTTGCGAGCAGACAACGCTAAGCAGCCTCAACCGCCTAAGCCCGAGACCCTACCTAGACAGAGGTGTGCCGGGACTACAACTGGGCAGAGCTCTAAACTCTGCATTCCAACAGCACCGCGATGAAGGCTTCTGGGACAACACTGAGCTGATCCGCAACCACTTCAGCCGAGCTTGGTGGCGCCGCTGGCAACGCCTCCGGCCCCCAGGAGATCAGTGACTTCGTGGAACAACACGAAGCCCTACACCTAAACCCTGAACCCTAAAACCCGCAGGCCTTAAACCCAAGTCCTATACCCCAAGCCTGAACGCGACCAGCAAAATGTTCCTCGTTGGCCTTCTACCGAAGTTCGAAGTGAAAGTCAAGAGCTTTAGGGTCTTGGGTTTAGGTGCGTAGGTTCGGGGCTTCAACTCGGTGTGCTCATCATACCAAGTTTTAACTATAGAACTCTATCGTAAGTAAGATGCTATCTTGCCGCTTTCCTCAACCGATAGCTTTCTCTGAGTAGGTTCCTGAGAACAAGAACCGACTAGCCCGACATCCTTCACCAGCTCCCCCTCCACCCAGATGTCAAAGCATTAGCTGCAGGGGCCCTAAACCCTAAACTAAACCCTAAACCGCAATTCTGACATACTGATCCCTGGGACCCTGAACGCTGGAACCCCTGAGCCCTAAACCCTGATCTGAAACCCTACACCTTAAACCCCAAACCCGTAGCCATTTTGGCTCAAGCTGTTGTGCTCGAGGCCTGGCCTGCTGGTCCAGCTTAGTTGCCCCTCCCTCCGCCCTGCATCTCTCTGTGCCTGTGGCGATCCTGTTCCTCCTGGTCTTCTCGGATAAGCTGATCACCGTGCTCTTGCATTACGTGATTCTGCCCTTGAGCTTCGCTGGCTTGCTGTCCTGCTGGGCGACTTCTACATTCGCGTCCTCGGTGACGTCTCTGGCTGCTGTCGTGGTCATTGTTGGTCGGCTGTCACCTCATTGATTCCCTGGCTGAACAAAAGAAGGGGTGTCTTCATCCTGAGCTTGGGTGAGAAGACTTTGTGGTGACCTACCTCTTCTTCTTCTTTTCTTCTTCTTCCTCTTCCTGGTTGACCTTTGTGGGGTGATCTTTCTGGACGTCCTCTTCGTGACCTTGTACTTCTGGGGTGTCTTCCTGGAGTTGCGATGGACAATCTCGAGACTCAACCGGATGATTTGGAGGAGATGCAAGTTGAGCCAGGTCGTGCATGTGGTGGGGCCTTGGGTTCGCCTACCGAACTCGCTGATGAAACATCCGAGGGTGAACTCAATGATGTGGACATGCCTGTCAAGCTTGAGAAACGGAAAAGGGGTGAATCACGGGTAGGTGGAGTTCGTGATCCAGCTGAGGTACGACCGGTGCCCGACTCCGACGAGGATGAGGACAGCCCTTCCAAGCGCCCACAGATTGGGGAGGAGAAGCCACTCACAGCTCGTGAACTTCGTGAGCTCCTCTTTGGTCATGTGCATGAAATGAAGTCTGCCTGGCACTCCTTTCAAGGTCGTCTCGAGAATGTCGAACGCGAACAGGGTAAGACCACCTTTGAAGTTTGTAACCTTCAAGCTAGAACTCGTGTGCTCGAGAAGGACCTGGGGCAGCAGCGGCAAACCTCGACCGCCCACGCTACGGCTCTTGAAAGCCTCACAGCTGATGTGAAGAATTTGAGGGTGAAGCTTGATGATCTTAGTGCACGAGGGTCCCCCGCTGTCGCTGGATCTGGACCTCCTGGTGATGCCGCTCCAGCTGGTGATCCTTGGGCTGAATATCTTAGACATCATCCTTCTGGTCGTCCTGCTCCCGCTGGAAACGATGGCAAAGATGGAGGTGCCCGAGCCTCTGGCTCTTCAGCTGATGATAGGGGTGATGCCTTGTCCGAGGACGACAAACGAACATTGGTTGTCGGCGGTTGGCTCCAGGACACCAAACGCAGCATCATCGAGGAAGAATCTGCGGCGATTCTCAATCTGCCGGAGGTAAAGAACCTTGTTGACAGCGAAAAGCTTCTGATCTTTGGGCCGAGGCGATCGGTTGGCATGCTGCGATTCTCTGTTCGAGATGGGGAAGACTTCCAAGGGATGAAAACTCGCATGTGGGAACTCGTTCGTGCTCTGGGACGCATTAAGCACATCCTTCCCAGCACCAAAGCATCTGGTGAAGAGAAGACTATGTGGGCTTCGTTTGTGAAGACAAAAAACGCGAGGCTGCGAAGTTCACATGTCAGCTTGACACGTCGAGTTGTTATTTCCCTTACGAAAGATGGCGGTCATCCCAATGGCCCAAACACCCTGATCGGGGCGTATGACTGCGATTGGAACATGGGGACAATTTGGAATGGGTGTGAAAAACTCGCCAGCTCAACCCATCGAAAGCCTGCTAAGACTGAGGATGAGTTCGTTGTCATGAGCGGGGGATGGATCAATGTCTCAGCTGTTGCCAGAGTTGCCGGATGCTCCACGGATGATGCCCGTGGAGCTTTCGAACGTGAGCTGTGACCTGCACAACAGGATTGTTTCACCTTGGATGGGGAGACTTTGCCGGATCACCCTTCGCCCTCGTGTCTTAAAGAACGTGGGGTGACATCATCTCGTCCGTGTGCAATACGCAGATGGGGAAGATCATGTTCATGGAACTTGGGTGGTCAGGGAACTGCTCTCCTAGATGTTGCTTGTACAGACTGTGACATCATCCTCGCTCAGGAAGTTGCTCGTGATGATCCTGGGTGGAACTGCTATGACAGCGATGAGTTTCACTGGATTGTTCATCGTGACCCTCGTCAGTGGAGGGGTACGGGAATCGCTGTCTCCCTTGATAAGTTTGACTCTGTCTTGTGGAAGTCTGCATCTAGTCGCGGCATCTGGGCAGTGGTAAGGGTGGTCGGCATCGGTCGCACTATCCTTGGGTCAGTTCACTGTCATACTGGAGTCACTACCTCTGTCTATCAGGCTGCAGCACAAGAGTTCGCGAAACTCTGCCCCCGGAAGTATCGTCATTTGCCTGTCGTTTGCGGGGTTGACGCCAACGAAGTTCCGCACTGGGACCTTGGGGAGGATGGTCAGCTCGCTATAGGTACGTGCAGTTCAAACCTCAATGTGCTCATTCATGGGATGCTCCAGCAGGGTGTTCAGCCAGTTGCCCCAGTTGAAGATCAAAAAGACCTTGCCACACATTTCCCTAGGGATTCCAGTCGTGCGGGCAGGCAGATTGACATGATGTTCTCTCGGCACATCCACATTCAGCCGCTGATGTTTGAACCTGACCGGAGGCACCTGATTGGCACAGACCACGCCATCGTCCTGGGAGACATTCACACCCGTGCCGGGCCGAGTAGCGTCAAGTGGGGCAACGACTCTCGTGCTAGGTGGGTTGCCGGACATCGAGATAGTTGATGAGGATGATCTCATTGAGATTGCCTCCAAGTGTACGAAGCCGAGGCGCTCGCAAAGGTATCGTGATAGTGATGAGGTGAAGAATGCAATTGTTGCAGCTCGTAGCAGCATGCTTCCTGCGGACTGGAAGCGGGTTCACCGCCTCCGCAAGCAGGAGCGTAGGCACTGGTCCCAGGCTCGACTTGCCAAGATCCTCAATGGCGACTGGGATCAATACCGCACGTTGCAAAACGAGAAGAAGCGACGACGTGGGTGGTGGGGTGACCTTCTTGAAGCTAATGGTTCGTCTGAGCTGGCACAGAAGATTACCAGCCACCTTGAAGAGAAAATGCTCCACCCCTCAAAGACCTCGGCCGAATGGGAGGAGGAGCTTCATGACCTCATCGGCTCCGCTGCTGAGGATGACTTGTTTGTTCCGTTCACTCTCTTGGACGTTCGCACGGAGCTACAGGGCATGAAATGTCGCAGTGCTGTTGGTCCTGATGGTATTGGGGTCCACCTTCTCCGTGAAATAGCCAGTCATGACTTGCTGGGGCCCCGTCTTCTCAATCTCGTGAACTTCATTGTTGAGAGTCGCCAGTTGCCGCATAGCTGGGAGAAATCGTTCCTTGCGTTACTCGCCAAGTGTAAGGTCCCCAAGGATGTGGGTGACTTGAGGCCGATCTGTGTGTCATCTGCCTTTCACAAGCTCGTCAATCGCCTCGTATGTGCACGTGCCCTGCCCATTATGAGACGTGGCTCCAAGATCAGTTGCTGCGGAAAGGGTCGCCAGGCGGCCGACCTCATCGGTGCCATCAGTCGACTTCGAGATATCACCAAGGAATGGCGCCACCCTCTCATTCTGTGCAAGCTCGACGTCGCTGGGGCCTTTGATAAGATAGACCGAAGAAAAGTCGCTGAGCTTTTACTCGCCAGACTCAAGAACCGTGGGGTGAGCTTTGAACTTCGCTATCTTCTGGCTCAGCTTGCGACGCACCAGTTGGTTGGCCAGGCTCCTGGAGGTCAGATTGTTTCGCTGCGTCCTGATAATGGGATCAAACAAGGTGCTCCTGAGAGTGCCGAACTGTTTGGACTCGTTGTTGACAGTATTCTTTCCGAACTCGTCTTCTGCAAGAGATGGGGTGACCTTGGCCAGCCGATTGAGGGGCTTGACATTGACCTGCTGTTCTATCAGGATGATGTGTTCCTGGTTGAAACTCAGTTTGCCCGTCTTTGTCGCCGTATTGGCATTGTTGATCGCTGCTTTCGGCAAGCTGGCCTCACGCTCGCAAAGTCGAAGACCAAGATCGTTGCCAATGACCATTATCTTGGCGCTCGTCGGGCAAAAGTTGGGGATGACTTGTTTGTGATCGCGCCGCGGGGTGAGTCTCTCAAGGTTCTTGGCATCGCTTTCTCCCTGTCACATGATGCTTCAGAACAGGCCAAGGAACTAATTAGTCGCACTCGTGACGCCGCGGCAGCTCATAAAGACATCTTGAATGCCCCTGGACCCTGGCTTCACAAAGTGAACATCATGAAGACTCTGCTGGAATCCCAGTTTGCGTGGACTGGAGGAGCAATCCATTGGAGTAAAGATGACCTGCATTGCATGAATGTCCTACAGCTCCATACTTGTAGGTCAGCATTTGGTCTTCGACGAGCTCCCGGAGAAAACTGGGTCCAATGGAATCAACGTAGCCTTCGGTTTGTTCGTGCTTGGCTTCACCGACAGGGGGTGCATAGGTGGTCTGCTCGTGTCCTCACTCTTCAGCATACACTACACGGTCATTGGGCGCGCCGCACCGAGGTTGTTCGTGGTTCTGCACGTGCCTGTGCACCGATGAGGGCCGTCATGTGGCGCAACACTTACTGGTGGCGTGAACAACAAGCGCTAGACAGAGCTTCTTCGCTTCGGCATCCACAACAATTCTACGCTTCCAATGTGGAGCGCCAACTTGCTCAAAGCAATGGCAACCTGTGGTACGTTGCTGCTCAAGACCGCCAGACTTGGGCCGCCGAGCGAGTAAAATATATCGAAGAATGGGATGTGAGATGGTGCAATGGTCGACAACTCTCCCTTCGCATGTAGCAGCCTTTCTTGATGGGTACAGACAGCTTTCGTGAAGCCCTTCTTTCGGCTGAGCAGTTGTGATGCCTTACAGGATCGGTTTGCCTTGCTGTGATCACTCGCCGAGATTCTCCTTTACCCCGACTTTGATTTCATGTTCTTTCACTTCCGTCTGCATGCAGTGTTTACCCCTCGCGTGTTCATTTCAATCAAGATCGACACTTCCCTGTTGCAGTCTTGGCCCAGGCGTGAAAACCTTCTCCAGCCCTTGGCTGCCTCTTCGTGTCATGGCCCTCGCTTGTGTGCTCTTCCTTGGGCTGCTGACGAATGACAACAGGGTGACTGCCACTCATGACGACACCTACCAGCATGGCGCCGAAAGTGGCACTCCTGCAGACCGCGATGATCCCCGCCGACCTTGGACCCAAGAAGAAGTTGCCGCTCACATGGCAGCTGTGTGGGAAGAAGAGGTGTATGTTCCCTGTTCGCCGCAGCCTCAGTCTGACGAGTGGCTGCCTCAACTACAACAATGGCCTGAGCCATCGGGGGTGACCCTACCGGCTACTTCCTCTTCTTCTTCTACGTGGTCTACGTGCCCTTCGTCCAGTTCGCCTCCGCCGACGTGGTCTACCTGCCCTTCTTCCAGCTCGTCTCCCCCGCCATGGACATCTACCTCTTCGTCTGGTACCCATTCTCGTATCCTTGTGGATGAAGAGGTTGGCCTTGCTCTGCAACATGGCCTTGTGGATTGGTGGGAGGGTGACTCTTCAGTACACCCAGGACTGGCTCCCATCCCCGAAAACTTGCCTCTTCCTTTTGGAGGTGTCACTACGCCTGTAAGCTCTGGCACTGCAGCTGGTGACTCCGTCCCGGATGATTGGCTTGAAATGGTGCGAGATACTCGAGCTCTACGTGGACGACGTGATTCTCCAGAAGTTCTTCCCCATGCTCCTGCTGTTCCCCAAGGTGACGCTGCTGTGCAACATGACGACCCCAACATGGTGCTGAACACTCCTTCGGTGGAGTCCTCGAGAGGGACCCTCCCTCCTGAGACTGGTAACCCGAGTGCCACCACGAGTGAAACTGGGGTGACCTCTCGCTTTGGCCGTTCCAGACCCGGCGTTGACAGGTGGCACCACCCTGATGGAACCGTCCGCAACCGTGCCCAAGAACGTCGTGATGCTGAAGCTGAATCTCGTCACCTGCGAAACGACTCGACTCAACCTTCGGGTGCCTCGGCAACTCCGCCGTTCGTTGTGGTTGGCATGGAGGAGTTCCAAGGAGAAACTGTCGTTAAAGCCAGGAGCTTCTACGGGGAGAACTTCAGGGTGAGATCCGACCTTGGCGACTTCTCCAATGAGGCGTCGACGACAGCTGGGAACACCTCTGACAGAGATGGGGACACGTCTGGGCTGAACTCCAGCTCTAGCAGTGACTGGAATGGGGTGGGTTTCTGGAAAAACGGCGAATGGCAGGCGCGCCCTAGATCCACCGCAGAACTTCGCAGCCACAGAGGAGGAATGGGACCACAGCGCATGGCGAGGAAACAATCGCGCATGCAGTCCTATCTCAATGGCACTTGGAAACCGGCTTGGCTGACGCGCTACATCCACGACAAGGAGGCCCGCCAGAAGACTACCCGAGATGCCAACGTGCAGGACAGTGCCATCATCGACCCGCAGGTCATGGCTGCCTTCCTCGGCAAACCGGCTCCGGAGAAACACCAGATTGTCCAGGAGGGTGCTGTTGAACTGACACCTCCCTCATCTTCGTCCTACTGCACAGATGTCGACCCATGGGCTGGTGGACAATGGGGCGGGAATGGATGGAATGCAACCTTGACCTCCGACTCTTCTTCCTGGTGGGAACGACGAGATGTTTCGTCTACATGGGATGAGTCAGACTCATCTGTTTGGATGACCTGGTCGTCCTGGTCCTCTTGGGAAAGCTGGAATTCGTGGTCAAGCTCGTCATGGAATGAATGGTGGTCCTCGTCGTCTTCCACTACCTCCTCTTCGACGGTTATGGTGGTGCCTAATGCTGGTCTCGACCCGCAGGTGAGGGAGCTTGATGACGAGGAGGTCTTCATGATGCAGATGTCAGGGGCGGAACGGGCCACGCTACAGGAAGCCGGCTTGGACACGGTCAGCATCAACCAAGTGGAACAGTTCCTTGCCGCCCTTGATACTCACAACAACAATGACTTAGGACCCGAAGCGCGATGGGCATTGGGGCGACTTCTCGCTCGCATTGAAGAAGGGTTGGGAACAGTTGAGACCCTCTATATGGGATCTTGGTTCGCCGTCTCCTGCCACAAGGGTTTCTTCCTCTACAACGCGTTCCTGGCACCGAGATGCTTCGATGGCAGCTCTTTAACTGGGCAAGAGGACTTACGGGTGTTATCACGAACACGCTTGACCGACATCTTCAAGTTCGCCTACAACCAGGTGAAGGACCAGAATCAAGTGTCCACCCCTCACCCTCGATGATTGCGGCCGTGGGCGATCTGGCTCCTGAGTCTTCGCCTGCAGCAGTGGTGTTCGTGCCCAGTGCTGGTAACGATGTGACGTCCCCAGCAAACAGTCCACGCTCTCGTTCCCGAAGTCGTGACCGTCATGAATCGAGTGAAGATGAAGATGACCATGGGCAGGAAGGCTCGAGGTCCTCATCAAGCTCGGACGTCCCTTCACTTAGAAGCGATTGGGCGCTTAACGAGCATGGTGAACTCGTCCCGGTTCCGCCTGCAAGTCCTGGAGCCTCACCACGTGGTCCGCCACCTCCGGTTCCGGTCAATCTTCCGGCTGGGACCTTGCCCCCTTCCTCCCATCATGGCACTGTGGAGCAAGCTTTACAAGGTGGCTTGTTTGGAGTCTGGGCTGAACCTTCGGATACTTCCATCTCCTCCACGACATCCACGACATCCTCGACGACATGGTCTGCTCAGTTTCAAGATGAGACCGTACTCATGGATGACTGTGATGTAGTTGTATGGCTCCAGAATTGGCAATCTGCTCCTATGACCGCGATGTTGACTAGGACATCGAGTTTGACCTCTTCTCTGTCTTTGACATCGAGCTCAACCTCCACCTCGACTACTTCATGGCCTGGTGGTGCTGGGGTGATGATGGGTGACTTGTGTTCCGCCACAACAACGACTTCTTCTTTACCTCTCTCACCGGAAGATGTGGTACGAGACACGGTTAATCGAGAACTTGTTTATGGCAGTGTGGCTGACATCCTGCATGTGATTCACCAATTGCAGGGGCGGCAACGTCACTACCTTCACCTGTGCAGACTGGTGGGGGTTGCCATTGAGGAGGCTCTCACCTGGATCCCACATCCGGAACACTCCCTGGTCCTGAACGGTGCTACAATGGACACTCGTATCTGGCACTGCCTTGCCCGGGAAGCTCAATTCGGTATGGGTGTTTCGTCGTCTGGGACCACCCAGGTTAGTACCACAGCAGCTGCGCTACTGCATCCGGGCTTCCCAGTTGACCTACCTAGCTTGTGGAACGCAGTCCCTCAGCTGGAGAGGCATGTGGTGGTCGGACTGCGTAGAAGAGCGTGGAGGAGGCATGCCCATCGTCTGCATGAAGAAGCTGATGTCACCTCGCCTGAAGGCTTCTGGCCGGCAGAGGATGATCAGGACCTGTACCTGATCCAAACCAACGAGGGAGAACCTGTTGACAACGTGCCGCCTGGTGTGTCGCTGCCTGCGCTTCCAAACCGACGTGAGCCTCGTCAACGACGTCGTCAACATCGACCTCGACCTCCCCCCGTAGTGCTTCCTCAGGGACAACTTGGAGATGCCGTTGGTGCACGACCGCATCGAACTGGAGCACGTGTAGGGGGTATCAATGGGAGAAGACGTCGCCTACCTCTGTGGCATCGTGAACGTAGTCGCAGTCGTGATGGAAGTGCCCATCGTGATGATGGTGCTGTACCTCGTGAAGAACCAATTGGTGCTACTTTGGCTTCGTCTGCTTCTCCTGAGTTGATGCCCTCCTCGACTGCTCCTTCGTTGTCTTCTGGGACATCTGTGTCCATGTCTTCAGTGCCCCCTGGTGGAGTCGTTCGCCGTTCGACAAGTCCTACACCGGGTCTCTCTGTTCGTCGCCGTGGGTTGGAAGTTGTCGATTGAGGAGTACAAGAGTGAGCGAGGGTTTTTACACGGATTCTCGGATGGGATCTGTGTGAGTGTAGGCCGAATCTCGGCCGGACCTTTCTGCAGAAAAAGGCCCCATTGCACTTTAAAAAAAAAAAACCCCAAACCCCAAACCTCAGACCCATACCCCAGACTTTACTTAGACGTTCATGAGAAGTTATAGGTAGATTTTTTTGGAAAATGCTAGGTAAAATTGTTACCCTGCTACTTATAACTCCACTTATAACTACTCATGAACCTCCTAATCCGAAAAGAAAGCAACGACTTGCGACATGCAGGTGAGTACTACGAGACCCGGGAGCGCAACTTAGAGTATGCTGTGGGCCACTCGACGGGTTTAGGGTTCAAGGTTTCGGGTGTGGGTTTAGGGTTTAAGGTTTCGGGTAGGGTTTGGGGTTTAAGGTTTCGGGTTTAGGGTTTCGGGTTTAGGGTTTGGGGTTTGGGGTTTAGGTTCAGCCAGTGATTCTTGCCCCCAACCGTTGTTTTCTCTACCGGAGAAAGTACATGAGATGCTGCCAGCAAGTCAGTCAGTCGGTCCGTCAGTTAGCCCGTCAGTCATCCAGGCATTCAGCCGGCATGTATGTAGGAAGGTAGGTAGGTAGGTTGGTGGGTATGTATGCGTGCAAGCATCCATGTACATGCTGCTATGCCCTGCTCTGGGATCTTTCGTAGATGCTCGTAGCACATTGCCTGAATCTAAACCCTAAACCCTAAACCCTAAACCCCAACCCCCCTAAACCCCTAAACCCTAAACCCCTAAAGGAACCCGAAGCCATTGCTTGAACCACACGAGTTTCGGGTGTCCGGTCTTAGTGCTTAGGGCGGGCAGAACTTTGCAGGGCTTATGATTTCT